CTCCGCTCAATTCGAGTTGTGTCCCCCATTAATTTCACCGAGAGACTTTTAAGGCTATCTTCAATAGCGCTGTTATCTACAAGCTTAGTAATGAATGTTTTGAGAACGAGACGTTTCTCGTGGTATAATTTCTAAATGAGCGGGTAAGCTCACCATTAGAAATTATAAATCCTGTGAGGGTCTACTCCGATTCATTCAACAGAAGATATTGCGTACAACTCATTTAAAGGGAGCTTATTTAAAATTGGCAATCGTTTGCTTTTTTACTCTTGCAACTTGCTACAGAGCATAATAGTTTTGTTCACCTAACGGTTCTTTTTATCACCTAAAACTAATCGAGTTAGATATAGAGTTATATACCGATATATATACATTAATGATTAGGATGATGAAAAGAGTTGAAATACGGGTGACTGTGTGTCCGTCTGTCTGTCTGTGCACTGTAAAACTGTATTTTGGTACAACCAATCACAATAAGGAGAAGCATATGTGGTTTGAGAATTTTTAAAAAGTAGGCATGGCCTCGTCCCCCTAATATAGTTTGTGTACGTATCTCCCAAACACTTCACACTACATCTGCCAAATTAGCACAGGAGAAATTATATGGACACCTCTTGCGATAATGTGAAAATGGATGAAATGGGTTTATAACCAGGCCCACTCCCCACCGCTTTTGTTAAAAACTACTAAAAGTCCGATAAAACCAAATGCGTTAGGGAAAAGAAGACTTTATAGGAGCCTGTGACAAAACTGGAGGATAGGCATGGCACGGCCCACCTTTAGGTGAAATCACATATATTCGGATCTACTTGATCAATTTCAAGAAAATTTGATAAATAGTCTATTTTGACATTCGCACGTAACAGTATGAAAATGCATCGCATTGCATTTTTCTCTTTCGAGTAAATAAATCAAAAGTTTTGGTGAGTTTACGCATCTGATAGCTCTTCGAGATGATCGATTGTTATCCATACGATATGCTAAACATTTTGCTCATCTCCATTGCTAAAGTTTTCTGGAAAAAAGACTATTCTGCTGAATTCAATTTTATTGCAGTTAGTTTTCTATATAAAGTGATTATTTCATTCAAATGCGATAACCGAACTGCGATTAACCTAAAAATGTATCCAAAACTTCGGCTGGACTTTTCGGTAAGTCAATTCAACAAGTTGTTTTGTCGCACCAGAGCCACATCTTTTATATAGTTGCCTTTAGATACTTAGTTCCGAGAAAACAAGTCTATGCAGTTTCTTCAAGCGATGCTTTTATCTTACTCAATTCAGCAGCTTGCTTTCTTTCCTATATACAAGTATTTCTGTGACCAGGAGGCAGTGTGATTTTTAAATGGCTTTAACTCCAATGTTATATCATCCGGCATTCTGAGGACATTTTTGAAAACATAGCTATTACCTTAAGCCATTTAACGAATTTACCGACTTTATTCAAATATAAATCCCAGTTCGTTTCGCTCATATAAGCCGCCTGTAGGGGACAGCTTTCGGGACGCACTCGTTGCTTAGCAGTTCTTCTTAAAGATGCTGCCAGAGAAAGATAGTAGTAAAAGACGGAAAGAGTTGCTCAGCACTCACCCGCGTACACACTACTTCCATTTTAGAAATCTCTTTATAGATTGAGGTTAGTCACGCTTTTTCAGTACAGAAAACTTTACCCCTACAAACAATTATACCTTCACTCGCTTTAATTGACTGCAAAATTTCAAAACCGAACATAATATCTATGCAATTTGTGTTTTCTTAAAGCAAAAAGGTTTTGCTTGCAATTATACACAATCAGCCAGTGAATATTTCCACAATGAAGCATTTCCAATTCCATTTTATCAGCGTGAATTCGCAATGGCATATATTTCACATAATTTTAATCGTTTAATCTGATTTCTAATTGTTGACTTTAATTACCAGCTGCTACTATCTACCACACAACAACAACAACAAACAATCGCCACAAATACTCGTAGTGTAATTCGCTCGCGCGGCGATTGCACGAGTGAACGCGCGGCTGCGGCGGCTTGATGAATAAATGTCTGTGAGGTGT